AAGGTCAAATGCAAGAAGGGCGCGTTCGAGGTGAACGCGGCTGGGGGGGAGGGCGACGTGAACTGGAAGCCCCCCGAGGCGGAGCTGAGCGTAGCTGGTCCAGACGTGACGCTCAAAGGTGAGGCTACGGTGAAGTCCCCCAAGGGGAAGAAGCCCATGTTTGGGAAGATCTCCTTCCCGGACGTTGAATTTGATCTTAAATCGCACAGATTCCGCGGGGATGCTTCGGTGGCCGTCCCCAAAATGGAGGGGGACCTTAAAGCACCCGATCTAGAAGTCTCCCTGCCAACCGCCAAAGGTGACGTCAAAGGCCCGAGTCTCAATGTGGACCTTGATGCCTCGGACGTGAGCCTGAAGAAACCCAAGTTGAAACTTCCCGGTGGGCAGGTGGGCGTTGGGGACTTGAAGATCGAGGGTGACCTGCAAGGCCCCACCCTTGACGTCGCCGTTCCCTCCATCCCAGCGCCGGATGTCGACTTAAGCGTGAAAGGACCAAAGTTAAAAGGTGAAGTCAACGTTCCTGGAGTAGAACTGGAAGGTCCCGAAGGAAAACTGAAGTTGTCCAAGGGGGGGAAAATGGGTCTCGGTTTGGGAATGCCGGATGCAAACTTGGACCTCTCGGTCCCGGCCGTGGAGGGAAGCGCGAGCCTCCCTTCGGCCGCCGTCAGCCTCCGAGGCGTCGAGGTGAAGCTCAAAGGGCCGCAGGTCTCTGGGCCCGAGTTTGATGGAAGCCTGAAAGGACCAAAGCTAAAGGGAGATGTGGACGTTCTGAGTTCTGTGGAAGGGCTGGACGTGGCCGGCATCGCCGGAAAGCTGAAGCTGCCGAAGGTCAAAGGCCCTGCTGTGGAGGCACCGGATTGGAGCGTGAAAGGAGGCATCGACTGCTCTGTCCCACAGCCGGGGGCCGACGCAACGGCCCCGGGTGCAGATCTCAGTCTTGGGATCCCAGGTCTCCATCTCAAAGGGCCGGCGGTGGCCGTTTCCGCCCCAGATTTGGACATGAACCTGAAAGGACCAAAGGTGGAAGGAGATGTCAGCGTTTCCGCCGATGTCACCCCTCCCAGGGCAGCAGCGGACGCGTCCGATGTTGGCTTTGAAATTCTGGGCGGCACCATCAAGCTCCCGTCCCTCAAGCTCCCCCAGTTTGGCATTTCCAGTCCTGGCACGGATGGAGCTGATGGCAGCATCGGTCTCGAAGGTCCCCAGGTGAAAGGAGACCTGAAGGGCTCCGGGGCTGGCGTTGGGTTGGAAGGACCCGACGTGGAATTGAAGGGGCCTAAATTTCAAATGCAGTTGCCCGGCGTCTCCTTGCCGGCCGTTGACCTGAAGCTGAAAGGACCAAACCTCCGGGGCGACGGGGATGTTGCCGGTGAAATCCAAGGTCCAACCGTCAGCGTGGAAGCACCTCGTCTTGACGTGAGGGAGCCCGGCGTCCACCTGGAGGCTCCCACCTTGGACGCGTCTGCACCCAAAGCTTCTGGGTTGGGTTTGAACGTCAACATCAAAGGGCCGAAGATCAAAGGTGGCACCACCATGGCCGGAGAGGCGCCCGCCGTGAGCGTTGGGGGCGGCACGCTCCACGTTACCGGCCCCAAGGTGGGACTCGGAGGGGCCAGCGTCACCACCAGCGTCCCGGAAAGCGTCCCGGGCAAAGTGTCCTTCCCCAAGCTGCGCATGCCCAAATTCCTCTTTTCAGACCCGGAGGTGAAGGGCAGGGAGATGGGCGTCGACGTCGAATTCCCGGGGGCGGACGCCAGCCTGCAGGCCGGCGGGGGGGGGGTGGGG